GCCTCTTCCCTTCGCTTTTTACCTTTCTACTCCCCCCCCCCCTGTTGTTGCTACTTTTGTTGTTGGGTTTGTTTGTTGCTGTTGTTTGGGGGGCTTTTTTTTTTCGAGCACCCCCTTCCCCCGCCCCCCTCCATATCTCCTCGTCCGATCGCGTCACGGGTGCGCAGACGCACCCGCATCTATTTTCACCATTGAAAATACAAGCGCACACACACACACACACACACACACACACACACACACGTGGGCGCTGTGATGGCGGCAGAAACTTCCCTCTTCCCAAGCGCGGACCTTCCCCTGGCTGGGGTGGTCTTCATGATATGCCCGGAGCTGGATGGCCTTGAGCCGGTAGATTGCAAGCGGGTATGTGTTGTCCGCATTCGGCAGTCTTGCTCTTTTCCTGCGATGCTCACACATTCACACTCGTACTCACACTTCCGCAAAAGACATCCATCTTGGCCATGCGGCTTGGGGCAGTGTTTCTTCGCCCCTCGCGCAAAAGGAAATACCACATCGAAGAACGCTTGCTCTTCGGAGCCGACAATCCGCCCTCCCCGGCTGACGCCCCTGAGCGGGGTCAGTCACGCTTCCGGGGGCGATGGATGAGCAGCGAACGAGGATGAGACAGGGGGGTGCCCGAGCAACGAACCCAGTTGTTCTTCTCCGCCTCGGCGAAGAGCATCTGAGGCGTCCAGTAGTCCTCCTTGCGCAAACGCGAGTCGTAATTGGAGTCGAGGGGTGCCTTGAGCGCAAGGAAATTCACCGTCTTGCCCGTTTGAACTGGAAACAACCCCAGGCGAGGGGAAAGCGAGGGGGGCGCATGAGAAGGGCCGGTAAGCGGCAATTCCACACAAGGGAGGTATGCGAGAGACAAAAAGATCATGCATGCGCGCATGTGCACCATTGGTAAAGCTGACGGGGTTGACATTCGGGCAGCCCACCCAGTTCGGCGGAAGATCAGGGGGTGAGGCAAGCCGACGGTAGCTCATAATCCGGGCAGGAGCGGGCGGGAGGAGGAGGGGAGGAGGGGGCTGAAGAGGAAAGAGAAAGAGCCCAGGAAGGTGATGCGGTGAAGGAGGGCAGAGACAGAAGCGAAGAGGGATGTGATAGGGTGGGTGGGTGGGGGGGAGGGAGGGGGGAGGGGGCGGGATACCGGGCACTTGGGCAGCCGATGGCCAGATGTGGTGGCCGAAAAAGCGGGCCACACCATCGACCGGTGACCCACGATGGAGGGGGGGAGGGGGAACCCATGCGACGGGCACGAAAACACCCCCGCCGCCTCGGCTGCTGATCCTAACGCGAAATGGGCTCAGCTCCGGAGAAAAGGGAATGATCCCGCCTCCCTCTTCTCAGGCGCGCTAGTTGCGTGGACTGCCCGGAGGAAGACGCGCAGTCTCTCCAGCGATGCCAGCCACGCCAAAGGTGTGTGCTAGATACTTTTCGGCATATATTTAAATGCTGGAGAAATATCGGCGCCCAAGAAAATACCGGTCCCCGCCCCCCCCCCCCCTCTCATCGTGAGCCGCCAAATGACCCCCTTGCCCAAACCCCGAGACAACGCCCAGCCCCGGTCGCCCTCCCGCCACACCGGACCAGCGATCTTGCCGCAAGTCCCCGGCGATCCTGACCGGCTTGGAAGGAAAGATGCCGGAGATCACCCCTCCCCGCTGGACGTGTGGTTCCCTCCCGGCATGGAAGGGCGCGAGAAGCCGTCTCCTGGCCCAGGGCCAAAGGGGGGGCGAGGGGGGCTAGCGCGGCCCAGCGGTCGTGGAACAGCTGTCGGTCCGCCGGCATGCGGCTCGGGCCGTATGCCGTCGCACTGGCCAGGCTCCCAGGCAAGTGTTGGACCGTGGTGCTTGAGTGCCGCCGGTCGACCGGCGCCTGCCGCCGGATGAAATGGCGTTCGGGAGCCTGATGAGGCCGCGTGATCTGGCGGCCCGAAGGAAACGGTTGACCCATTTTAAATCTCTCCCCCCGCAATCTATTCAAATTTGCCGCCGCAGCAGGGAAGGCCACCGCGCGCCTATCAGGTGGGGTGGCGCGATCGCTCCGGGGGTCCCAACCGCAGGAGGAATCCAAGCACTGGCTGATCTCGAATGGCCGCCCGCCGCACATGGGCACCCTCATTTTCAAGACCAAGGCCGGTGAGGTGAGGGTGGGCCCTCCTTCGGTTCACACCCCCTCCTTGCCTCCCTCCCCCCCCCCC